CTCAGTAAAGAAAAAGAATTTCGAAAAAAGCTCTTTATCAGTTTGAAGCCTGGCCTCTGGCGCACATCCCATGTAAACGTTTTGGCACTAGATCCTTTGGGAAAGCTTGAATTAGGGCAACAAAGTTTGATGCACGCTTTCAACACGTACCGGTTGAATAAGATCTAAAAGTATTTCGTGACGTTGTTGATATTCAAGGAAAAAGAGTATGAGGATGAATACAATCAATAAAACTTAAAAAAGAGTATCAATTTTCATTTTTTGGATCAACAAAAAAAGATACTTTTGATTACCAAATTTTTCAGCATGCATCTCATACTTTTATTTCTCAACAAAGTATAATGTACAACACAAACATATTCATTGAGATTTTAACCAAATGAACAGTAAAACTCTGCTAACTTTCTTGGGACACCCTTTTGCTTTTCGTTTGCGTAATGATTGAATACATGTTATATCGCTAAGTTGATACAAGTTAAATAAAATTGCTAATTCAACAGAATGCTTGCACGAATATACTAATAATGGTACAACAAGCCAACAGGATTGTTGCCATACCAGAAAACTATTGAATGTATCGGTGGCTAGGTATTTATCGGTCTCATCGGTGGCTTATATTTATTATCTTTATTTGGTGATCATTTGTATCTAAATTTGTTTGGTGATCAAAAGTACATTTATGCTTTTAAACAGAAATCATTTCTAACTGAGATTTCCAAAGAATAATTTTTTCAAATGTACTCAGGTATACGTTATTCATTATACGTTATTTTCACGGTGATAAAGAATATTTAGAGGCAAGTAACAACATTAAGGTAAGAAATCTGTCAGAATATCGCTGAGTCTTTTCAGTTATGTCTTCTGAAGTAAATGTACTTGAGACAAACTATGGAGTTACTTGAAAACTTTAACAATGCTTGATCAAGAACGTGTCAAGTGTCTCAGGATATAAGTCCCCCCCCCTCCTTCGTGTCAGAAATGATGATTTTTTTCTTGAAAACTAGCGATTTTGAGAAAAAGTGTATGGCTATATAACCCCAAGTGTCCTCTTTCAAATGCACTAATTTTTATTCTCTAGAAACAGATTTTAGTGGAGTCTAACGAAGCTTTCTGGAAGCTCCTACAGGGACAAAACTTCAAATTTTCATATTTTCGACTGTTTTTATATTGTTGTATGTTTTCGGTCTTGTTAAAATCAACGAGATATGCGTGCGTATATGCCATATACACACATACTCGTGTATGCATCTTTTTTCGAATGCAGGTACTAAATAAATAGTGCAATGCAACCAGATCAACTTTTCCATATATAATATTATTTTCTGAGACGTACGTACTTCGTTTCAATTACAACTTCGCGCGGAAAAAATTATTTTTGATGAGATGAATTTTCTTTAAAACTCAATGATGATAAGTGTAATGTGTTAGACGTTAATCATAAAGATATAAAATAGAATTTGATTGAAATACGGAGGGGGATAGTTTTATTACTAATGATAATAATTAGTAAGATAGAACTTTCTATTATTCCTGAACAAAAAATTCTATTTTTTCAGTTAACTAATCTTTATTATCCATTTTAGAAAGACACAAACATACACTTAAACAATCTCAATCAAAACTGGTACAATTAAATCGTACAGAACAAATTTTTTATAATATAAATTCAACTGATAATGATGTGGATAGTATCAGTTTAATGAAAGTACATGGTTGTATTATGATAGTCACATGGATTGTAATTGTATCAACTGGTATATTAATTGCTCGTTATTTTAAAATATCATTTGTAAATAAAAAATTATGCGGTGAAGCCGTTTGGTTTTCTTTACATCGTGCATTTATGTCTTGTGCAGCCGTATTAACTGTTTTAGGATTTTTATTTATATTAGTTCATAACAAAGGTACGTGGGTTGAATATCAACCAAACTCAAAAGAATATGCTCACTCAATTGTTGGTGTTATTGTTGTTGGTCTTGCATTTTTTCAACCATTTTTGGCTTCATTTCGTTGCCATACTGATAGTCGTTACCGTTTTATTTTCAAGTATTTACATGGTTTTATTGGCATCACATCATTTGTTTTATCAATTGCTGCCATGTTTTTAGCTGTTTTATTTACAGGCTTTTCGTTTAAACCAAGTAGCATTGGTTGGGGAATATTAAGTGGTTGGTCATGTTGGATTGTTATTGTATTTCTTCTTTACGAAGGTATTGAGATTTATTTCAAAAGCAGAAACACTGGACCATATTCAGCGGATAGTGATAGTGGATCACTCATTGTCAACGATACGGTAATAATAAATTCATTAAAAGAAAAAATCAAAATGTTTCTATTATTTGCACATATATTAGTTGCATTAGCACTCTCATTAACATTGGTTATAGAACTAGGACTAATGACATTCTCATAGTTAATCGACAACATATTAAGAATACTTTCCTCATCATATTTCAACTGATTCAAATATGTGTAACACAGTAGTGTACAATTATACAAAAAATGCTTCTATATTTAAATCTCAGCAGAGCCTTTCAAAAGTATTAAGATCCACTAAAGAGCAATCTTGTTTGTTCAAGTTTTTTTCTCAACTAATTCATGAATAAACGATTGAAAACTTTGTTTTTCATGAGAAAGTGCATCATTGTCCTAGTTGTTATGAAATGATGATTCTTATCAAGATTTGTTGATTTCTATTCTATTTTAAAGCTAACGAACAACATCTTCAACTGATAAATCGCTTTTTGATCGAAATCTTGTGAGTTATAGGTTATCGACCATGCTGATTTCGAATATGATCATGAGTATTTCCCTTAGGCCTTCAAAGATCCGGTTTTCTGCAAACCGGTCTTTCAGAACCTCTAAGAAACAACCCAAACTTTTCTTTATGAAGCATGATTGCAGTCCGCAAATTTCTGATTAAAATGAGACATCTCCCAGCTTCTACATGACCTTTCTTTGCAAAGTTATAGAATTTAGAAGAAAAGCCCTAAATTAATTTTTTCCTTCTTATTTCTGTAGCTTTGAGTTGACAAGGAGCATTTAGGGCTAAAACTTATGTTGAAGTGGTTTCATTGACCGTCCGCTGTTTGACAAAACGAGATAGTTATCTAGGTTTTATTCGGTGATAACAGTAGCAACCTACTCTAAATATTTATATCATTCGATAGATGTTTTGATGACAGACGGCACCAAATAGCCTAACGAATCAGAAAATACTAAAATCAAAGGTACTGACACACATTAGACGATCAGTCCCAAATAGAAAGTCCACTTGATCTCGTCATGTAAAAGCTAAAATACTCCTAGATAGCCAGTTAAAAATTTTCAAAATCTCAAAATCCGAATACTTTTTCTCCACCCATATGGTTTATTTTATGTTACACTTAAACAGTAGATGTCTTACTATCTCTGTAATCAAACATTTTCCTAAGAAAATTAACAGCATCCGTATTTACATGAAAACAAATGATAGCGAACAATATGCTGTTATCAAGATCAGTCTGTGTGTAGCCTCTCAATCAAGTTGTGTCATAGTTGTTCATTCAAGTGACTTACACTGTTGGGACCATCTCAGCCTGTTTTAATCTACACTTTGCTTATTAAACAACAAATCAGGGTAAAATTTCATTATATTTTGTATAGTTACAAATACACAATTTTTAAGATGTAAAGAACCAACAGAAAAAGTACAGTGGAGTCAAGGGAGAAAAGGCAGCACCTAGTGCCGATTAGGTGCTAAAAGATGCCGTAAGGTACTACCTTGCAAACCATAAGTTAGTGGGATCGAATCACACATTGTACGGATATTTTTCCTTTTTTTCTTTGATTTTTTTTCCTTCTACATAAAAAGGAAAGATTATTGGCTGATTTAATTTAATAAAAAAGGAGTATACAAACCGCTTTTTCATCCGAACTGTTTCTGATTTAATTTCGCTGTAATGGATATATCCTGGTAACTTTAGAAAACGTTGAAATATTCATTCTTTACGCTATGTTTAGTGGCAGAAAAGTAAACAAAAGCTTGACTAAGTCTACTGGATGCTCACTAGTGTGATATCATTATTTGCGAATATGTTTTAACGTGAAACGATGCGTGTATAATAGTTATCCTTGTAGTAATCTTTTGATCATACGATCTTTCGTTGGTTAATTATGTTAAACTATATTTCTTGACTTGTTCCGAAAGGAAATTAGAGTGTTTCATATCTGCGCTTGATTTTGTGTTAACGTATCGTTTGTTTATTTCTCTGGCCTTAACCGTGTAAACGAGACCAATTAAATAATATAAATGAAGCAGATATTGATGAATTATCAGAAGATAAAATAGAAATAACTATACTGAAAGCTTATGATCAAGCGAAAAAAACATAGGCACTTTAGAAATAGCTAAACAAAGAATGATTCATTGTAAAATACCGGAAAAAACACTAAATTTTGTAACAGAACTTTTATCGGAGTGGTTTTCTAGTAGCACATTAGATAATATTCTGCGGGAATGGGAAT